CGATGCACATTTACCATGATTGACCGATATAATTGTTCATGTGCAATTTGAAGTGGAAGAGTGAAAACAATTTGGAGTGAAAAGAATTTGCTTTGACGTCTTCCAGATTGTCACGAGCGTCAAACTCAGCGGAAATTAGGGTTTCATATACATCAGCAATTTGTTGGTCCTCACAGATTTCGCGAATTTCTATAATTTTCGAGGTACTAGAGGTATGAACAAGCCTTGGCTTCATTTTTCTTTTTTTCTCTTTGCCACTGTCATAACCGTGAACTTTCATTATTCCGTTTAATTGGAAAACAAAACAAATTTTGCAATCCTTTCTTCACAAATGCGAGTTTGCATATTCGTAGTTGTAATTTACAGTTCATCAAGGGAAATATTAACAATCTTTCTCTCAGGTTAAAGATGAATATTTTATTTTAATTTTACCGTCTGTGGCTGAATTAGAATTAAAGTCTCATCTACATTTTTACGATCTCTTGTTTACTGAAAGTTATGTTTATTTTAATGGCAACATTTACACTTCTCCATTTCCGTTAATAAAACTGTCAATGTTTACAATCCTGGATCCAACAATGATTTAATTTTCCTTTTCATCTTCCAGTGAGTTGTTTAGGAAAGTTTTCGTTCATTTCATTTTATTAGCAATCAAATTCAATGCGAAACAAATCGTAGCACTCAGAGGTATCCACTTAAATTTTTCGCGGAACAAAGATCTACCGAATGCACTCGACGCGACTTTATTGATGGGGTGTCTACTTCACCATCCTCCTTTCGATCGTTAAATAACATTTTTTTGACCACTTTCGGCAAGAATCCTGCCATCCGAACATTTTCCTACCTGCTTTCAAGAAGTAAACTTTCCATTTTTGTTTCTCAAACAACCACTTCCGCTGGAAACGATAGAGGTGCCGGCAATTTTGAAACCCTCATGGCGGCCATGTTTGTTTACAACTCGCCCGCGGATCTGATCGCGCGCAGTCGCGCGCAGTCGCGCGCGCTATCGTTTAATTAGCTTGCGTGTATCTTGGAATCCATTCTCCGCGCGGTCAAAAAAACCCTTTCGAGCCCCCTTAAATGCCTCTCCTATAATCACCTCGCGCGAGATGATTAGAGCGAGATCTAACGCAATCCTCGACCAATCAGAGCGTGCGCATCTCTATTTTCATCTGAGCAATTATACTAATGAAAATAATTATTATTATATTTTCTTAATTGTAGGACCTATGAAGATGAAAGAAGTATTAACAACGTAAGTCACAGCTAAGATATTAAGGTCACATCGAACTCGGTATGGGCAGAAAGTGTATGATACTACATTAAATGTACGTTATTCAGGAAATATTTGCAACCTGTGAAAGAAAAGAAAAAGCATATTATTTAAAACGCATAAAGAACGCATTTAACATGGGAGACAGATACCATGTAATTGAGGAGAACTCTAACTGGATAGGGACTCTGTCTTAGCATCAGGTCAAGCTACTCGCTGCATTTCAATCACGATTTCCCAAGTTTAGCACATAGATTAGCTAAAGGTCTGCTTTAGGTTGAGATTTATTTCCCGCTCAATAATGGACAATATGCTTTTTATTTACTTTAGTTATGAGAAAGGAAGAATATAAACACTAGATGAAAGTGCGTAAACTGACTTTACAAAAAAAAACCTGTTGTTGAGATTTATTTAAGACTTATTTGTTACAGGCTCATTTCTTGAGTAATTGAAAGGGTACATTGATTTAATAGGACGTGGTGACACTACAAGATATCGAACCAAATCAGCCCCATTCCAGCCCACTCACGCAGCCTTCTTCGGAGTACATGGATCTCAGAGAAGTCAGTAAAGATAACAACAAGTCACAAAGTACAAATCCTGGTTACGCGCCTCTTCATGCAGCGAAGCGCTCCTGGGAAGTTCCAAGACATCACGTTACCATAGAAAAAGTCATTGGGAAAGGCGCTTTTGGACAGGTTGCCAAGGGAACGGTAGTAGGACTTCGAGGGAGGAATGATGCGACTACAGTGGCTATCAAGATGCTTAAATGTGAGACATGTTTTGTTCTCAGTACAGATCTCGCTGTTTTTTTGTTTGTTTTTGCCTTCCAGAACAATATTACTTGCTTTTACCTTCCAGTTAACGCTGCTGAATCACACAAGAGAGAATTGATGAAAGAACTTGACACGATGAAGAACCTTAAACCACATCCTCACATCATCAAACTTCTGGGATGTGTTACAGAATCCGGTATGTTTTAGTTATGTAGGTTTTATTATGCCATAATAAAAAACAATTTGCTTTAATTTTTAAGGAAAACTTTTTCTTTATTGGTTTTCAGAGGAAGTCCTGGTGTTGATCGAATATGTTCCTTTGGGGGATCTGCTGAGTTACCTAAGAAAGAGCCGTGTATTAAATGACACTTATCACAAAGACCCAGATATCAAACCACAAACAAGTCTGACGTCACACCAGCTGATGAAGTTTGCCTGGCAAATCGCTGATGGCATGAGTTACCTGTCCTCAGAATCTGTAAGCGTATCAAAAACAGAAAAGACCATTTAATTATAAAAACTTTCCTTGTAAGGCGTACCGTCATGGTAGGTTTTTTCTCTCATGTATTCTATTTCATGTCTTCAAAAGAATGTTCCGCAAAGGTGCAAACATATTCTTACCGTCTAGTTAGAAATTTTTTTGCATGGCGTACTCTCCAATTTCCAACGCCATCGCCCACGCTTTTTTGTTCTTTTTGGTTGGCAATCGTCGAGCAGCCTTGCAGGTGTACTTATACCTCAACCTTAACTTTTTCTTGTCTCACTGGCCCTTATTAGAATGTCAGTGTTCAAATGTCACTCACAGTTCACTGATTATCGAAAGAAAGTTTTCTCGATTCCTTTTGAAAACTGTATCAGCATTAGCACATTTCAATTTATTGCCAGTTGGGATTATAAGAAATACGCACACCATTGATCTCGTTAGATGCCGCTATTTTCATATCTGAACCTTTTTTCAGTTCCTTTCCTCTTGTAAGTACTAATTCGCATTGTCATGTCATTTATTCTTTCACAATCCTTCCTATAGATCATCCACCGAGACCTTGCAGCGCGTAATGTGTTGGTGGGGAAAAATGAAACATGTAAGGTGACAGACTTTGGAATGGCCAGAGATGTGCACCAGAAAAATATTTGTGAACGAAAAACAAAGGTGATAAAAAAATCAAGGGTGGGGGGGGAATTACCTAGTTACAAAACGTTCAGGATAATCATCTCAAAGATAATTTTGGTGGCAGAGGTGACATGTTTATGGTTTGAGCCTACTAAGGAAATAATAAATACATATACGAGTATTATTTCAATTATTATTGTCTTTGATTTTTCGCTAACTGTTATGTTTTTTTCTGTTTCATGATAACAAATCCCTAGGGCCGTCTTCCAGTAAAGTGGACAGCTTATGAAGCGCTGTTGTATGGTAACTATACCACCAAAAGTGACGTGTAAGTACAACTGATTATATTCTTTAGAGATGACGTCTATTGAACAAGCGGTTCGTGCTTCGCGTGCGGACACAGAGCTGTTGCATGCACGCCGTGATAAATTTGTTGTGAAGATTTACTAGTCCAAAACGTCGCAAAGCCTCACTTGAAGTCAGCAAGTTCTGTTTCCTTTTCCCGCCATAACTCGGATAGCGTCTGGATATTAAAGCTGAGGTCATCCCTTTTAGGATTAAATATCTATTGGCATATTTTCGCTTTGAGCCTTATAAGGCAATCTCTAAAAAGTTTTAAATTCGTGGTTAGACCGGCAGCAAACTGCAACTGCACGGAAACAGCGGCCGTGCGTCCATAGGGATTTGTACTGAACCTGTTGACTTAGATTAAGATGACAAAAGCATTTCCGTTAAATTATGAAATTTCCTTTCTGCATATTTTACCACCTGTATCTAAGAGACGCCATCTTGGCCTTTAAATCTATGACAGGTCAAGTAATAAACTTCTTCAGTTCAAATTTTATCTCCAGAGGGAATATCAGCGGTTGGAGGACCAGATCATCTTCCCAGCTAAATATGCCGCTTTTTAAAACCAAGTCGGGAAAGAGATCTTTTTTTTTACAGAACTGTAACATTGCTGAATGCCTTAAAACCCCCATATTAAATTAAGTGAATCTCTTATCATTTTCAAACGTAAAATGAAAGCTTTCCTTTTAAATCAAATTTTAATGTCATAAATTTTATATGCAACTAGTGTCCTCATAATTATTTACTGACAATTTTTGAGTATTTTTGCATTATCTGTATTATTAATATTTGTCTCTGAAAAGCTCCCATGGGGAGTCGACATTAAAATTTGTATTGTATTGTATTAATGTATATTAAGATTTGAAACATTGCCATACAAAAACAAAATGTTTCGTTTGTTTTGTATAATGGAGTAATGTCTCTAACCAGCTATCGGGCTCCTGTTTTCTTTGCAGATGGAGTTATGGAGTTGTCCTTTACGAGATTTTCACTATAGGTAACATCTGTTGGAAATTTACTATAGAGATTTATAATATACCTAATTAAAGACGCGGCAAAGTAATCATCTCCGTCTTCCCTCCATCAAACTTGAATGTACGAGAAAAGCTTTTTATTATCATGGATGTGAAGTTTTTATTCGTAATTTGTAGTTTTTATGAATAGTTTGTAATAAATTTTAACCTCTTTTAGGATTTTTCTTCTATTGGCTTAGTTAGGATTAGTTTTGAATATTTTTATATTTCTTTTATCTGGGGCCTCTAAGGATATCAGTTTTTGTGACTGTAGGAGTTACCCTAGTTAAATAAAAGTATCTACTACTACTACTGCTAAATTGAACAATAACATCAAGATAAGAAAACTTCCTGTGCAACTTCCTATTCCATCAAATAACACAGGAGGCACTTTGAGTGGAGGTCGTTGTTCAACAAAATTTACATTTCGACGATCTTGTTTTTTTTTTTTCAGGCGGTTCACCTTACCCACGAATAGATGGGGAAAAAATTGCAAACTTACTTGAAGAGGGATACAGAATGCCTAAACCACAACACGTGGAAAATGAATTGTAAGCTTTTGATAAATCTTTCTTCTTAGTTGCAACAGGAAACATTCTATAAAATTCTCCCATGTTATTCGCAAGATCAAATAATATCGTATTCCATCTAAATAATACTAGGTATCAGATCATGATGAGATGCTGGCAAAATGACCCGGATGAAAGACCAGCATTCACTGAATTAAAAATCCAACTTAAAGAGATGGAAACTCTACACAAGGTGAGGATAGTGAGAACATGGCAATCTTATTTGATGTGGGAGTAAATTAAGGCTTAGCTACTTATGGTCTCTAAATGAACAAATTGACATTTAGACGGGCCGTATAATATGTACTCATCTCCAATTAAATTTGCGGGAATTTTGGTTGATTTCTTCTTCCTGTTTTGCCACCGGAGGTTCCGTTCCATGAAAAGTAACGTTTAGTATCTGTATGTGGGAGGTAAAATGAATTTTCCAATAACAAAAAAATCTCATGGTCATAAAAGATAACGAGACAATTGTAAAACTGCGTTGAGAAGCACGACACTTGGTGGATGATTACGACTTAAAATACAACCTCCTTGTACCTTCCTGGGTGGGAAAAGCTAACAGCCGATGGGGATAACTGCACATATTTAGTTTTATAAGGCTATGAATTTCTTTTTCCCTTTAGAGGCTGATCGACATGAGAATGCACGACAAGCATTTGTATGCAAACGTTGAGGATTTGATCGTGTAGTTGGTACACTACCTCAGTGTTTGCCGGATTGGCCAACTGTTCGAACACTTTTCCGCAACAAGTTTAGGGGAATGTTCATCCTCGCCTTAAGCGCCCACTGGCAAAAAGAACCCGGCATGTTTTATCAGCCGCTAAGGCTAAAACACATTTATTTTAATTAATTTTCATTTTCCGAAAGCGGTTAAACGCTATTGTGCATAAGTTTTTAAATTCTTAGTTATATATACTGACATTTTGTTGGTTAAAATCTTTTAAAAGTATATGCACACATGCTTGATAAAGAAATGTTTTGATTTGTTGATTATGCAGCTTCATTCTGAAAAGAAGGACGTCATGATGACATCAGGTGGTGCATTTTTGTCTCTGTCAATTGTGTCTGTTTTTTCTAAAACAAAATATCATAAGATCGATTGGATATATCAAATATTTTTAGAAAATTTCCGAAAACTTTCCAGTCGTTTTTATTTTTTTACAATCTGGGAGAGCTGTCGGACCTATTTTTGGCTTTCAGTAGGACTGCCAATGTTTTTGATACCAAATGCAACTGAATTTTGTTTTTGCTCTGATAACTGAGTATAAGTCTGATCATGCGGTTTGTTTTCAAAGCTATTCTTGTACTTTTTTTTCTGTTTAAAAAGTGTACAATTTGTCTGAAGAGCGCAATAGTTTCATACTTTCTAAATGCGACTACTCAGCCAAATCGAATCTGTCAATTTTTTTTCTTATACTCAATTTTAAAGCAGTAGCTTTTAAAACGATTTTTTGTAATAAAAATTGTTGGAAAATTCACACAAGACATTGTGTACATTATTATGCCTTACACCATCACGAGTTTACATTTTTCACAGAGTCAGGAATCTTGCATATCTTGATCAGCTGGACGGATCATATTTCCTGTCTGAGAGCTGACGATAACCATAATTTTCGGCTCAACGTTGCATTATTTTCAACTCAATTACAGAAAAGGTTATCCACTGCTAGAAAACTAATTTTAGAATACTGAAAATCCTGGAGAGGAATCATACGGATACGGATGTCAGTTTAATTTCGAATTTCATTGCGTAACTAATGATGAGTGATCGAAAGTTAAGTCACACTTGATGTAATGATCTTCGGTCCCTTTAAGTTTCTGTTTTTTTCGAAACAGAAATACTTGTAAATAAAGTGAAACTCTCTGCCATTTGTAGAAACCAAGCACTCCTTGCCTTCCTATTGGTTTTTGTCGCTGAGGATCGTTTCGCAGGTAAGTCTTGTGATTTTTTTGAAGGATATGCTCACAATAATATAATCATATTTCTTCAATGCACAAGTTTACAGGTATGTTGAATCTGTACTGCGCTCCGATGTACCACAGAGGAATCAGATTAGCTCAATAACGACAAAGGGTGCAGCAGGTAATATTTACTTTGCAGCGTTGGCTGTGAGAGGGGCATTGTAAGTGTAGCCTCAACTCAAAAATTATTTGCTTTGAATAGCCTGATTCTGTCAGCGCTTTTGGTTTTGTGATGCAATGGTTAAAATCAACAACAATCAAATTAGAATAAAAATTGCAAGTTACATTTGGTGGTAGGTTATGATAACGCGGCGTTAGGCGAGTTTCAAGAAGCACACGCTAATTTATCCCCACTGCTTTTTCATGGAGGAGCGGGATTTAAAACAAAGCAAAATTTTTGTTTCTCACTTTTGATCTCGTGCGTGCGATAAAAATGTAAATGTATTGATTATAAGACCTATGTATTGTAAATTATCGTTAATCGTTTAAGAGAGCGGTTCATAAACGTACTAATCTACTTGTTTGTACGTTTGTTGATTAGAATAGAATAGAATAGACTACGATCTTTATTTATACACGATAAGAATTAAAGCTAAAGAGCGTGTGGGGTCGTGTACTTAACAAAATAGTATCTGGCCAACTATTGATTATACTGACACATTTCAAACTAAATAATAGACCATAATACAGTTAAACATTCAATTTTCCTCTCAACTTAAAAATTCTTGTAATCAGTTAATCTATTCCTAGCCGTCGAACCTGATAAACTAATAAAAAAGTGAAGCTTGTGAAGTGATTATTTCTCCTGAGTAGCCTCCTAAGATTCTTAAGGGCGAAACTACCTACATTTTTGACATGATGGTTAACATAGTTCCAGAGCAACCGAACCTCTATATGCTAAAGAGTCCTTTAAAAATCTAGTGTTGAATCTAGGTATGGTTATTGCTTCTTGGTCTCTTAGTGAATGGCTACATTCCCGCCTTATGAATATGCTATTAATTAGAGACTGAGGTAGCGAGACTTTACTTGCTCTATAAAAAAGGTTAACTACTTGAAATTTGTATTCTAAATTGATCGTATCCCATCCTGAAACGTTGAGAGCTACATTAGATTCCGTATCTTGGGATAAGTTGTAGACAATTTTTGCTGCTCTACAGTGAAGTTTCTCAATTGAGTACAGAAGATCCAAATTTGTACACGAACCCCATAATATAATACCATACTTCACAGAACGTAATATTACACTAAAATAAAACTTTAAAAGGACATTTTTGGGCAAGAACCTTGAGCGCTTCAATAAGCCTATTTTGTTCGCAAGGTTTTTTTTTAGTTCTAGCATATGTGGTATCCAAGTAAGCTNGCAGACTCTCCGATGCTGAAAATTGACGTATCGTCCGCGTACATGAACAGGGATCCCGTGGTAATCGCGGCAGGCAGATCATTAGTGAATAAAGTGAACAAAATAGGGCCTAAAACAGTATACCATTTGTTACTGGTAACATGTCAGATTTGACTCCATTAAGTACAGTGTACTGCATTCTTCCCCTCAAGTAGTCCCTAATCCAATATAGCAACACTCCCGTGATACCGAAATTATATTTCAGCTTCTTCAGCAAGATTTCGTGTGAGTGTCGAATGCTTTTCTGAAGTTCACAAAGGCTACTGCAACAACATTACCAGAGTCTATTACACGCACTATTCTTACTGTACAGACAGTACCGGTCCGATGGAATATTCACTGAGTGGCTTCCTGCTGCCTCACCGACCTAAAGCTTTGCAGCGGCGATATCTTGCCGACCGCAAACGATGTGTCGCTGAGATATCTCGTAGGATGTAAAGAATATATCCGACATAACTTAGACACAACGCACGTTCTGATTGGTAAAAATATATTGTTTATTTGACTGTATATCAAAAAAAAAAAAAGTGAAACATATTCTCCTCCTGTCAAATGGTGCCACACGATCGCATTCCCAGATTTGAATTTGTTAAAAGCGTTTGGTTTGGAGGAAACGAAGGGGACTCCAAAAACGACGACAAAGATTTTATTTATTAATTTTTTTAAATTATGATCAAATTTGCTATTTAAAATACAGTTTAACCAACTGGTTACTCCGGCGTTTTAGGCCTTTATTTTTCGTTGAGCGGTTAAGTGAAAGAACTTCGGAAATTCTCGACCAGAATTTCCCAGACTGCTCGCCGAGAAGGACAAGTTGGCTTGCTTTTGCTCATGAAAGTTGTTGTGACAAACCAATTTGAATTTTATTTAGATATTCACAGAAAATGTTATTTACTGGTGAGATAAAAAAAAAAACAAAAACAAAAACAATCGCAAGATGAATGTGCACTCAACATTTATGGCAATCCTATTTGCCGTCCAAGATTTTAGCTTTCATTTGATAATATTTGCCAACAATTGAATTTTAATTAAGCGTAGTAAGCTCTTTCTGTGAGGTTTAACGAGGACTCCAAGAATACTTTCATACAAGGCGAGGCAATACAGACAAATTTGGTTGAACGAAATAGCTGAACGGTGTTTGAATCAGTGCACCGGCTCGATGTTGTTGTCTTTCGATTTTGCTGCTTTTGTCGTAGCGCGGTCCAATAATGTTATTAACGAATCTAGATTTAAATTTTCATAATCGAAATGAACTTCACAATTAAAATTCTACAAATAACCTTAGTTTTGCTGAAAAACCTCCGGAAAATATAAAAAATTCTTTCCAGGTTAAGAACTTACAGATTATCAGATAGGCAAACTCTGCCCACAAAAAGCGCGTTTCTCAGTCCATACTATGGATAATGTTCGGCGATCATCGCTTGTATTTCTTTTCCACAGTACTGTAGGTTGAAACAAGTTCGCAATACAATACTTCTACACTAATAACATCATACGTCTATTTTCTTTGCATATCTATACATATTTAACGAAACATTTCCTTCCTAAAACTACTAAGTTTAATTTTTACCCTACTATTGTATACCATTACAAACTGCATAGATTCGCGTATGTTAAAGACGTTCTATTGTACGCCCTGAATAGCTGTAACCTACTGTACATTAAAGGAACTATTGTGGAATGCGAAACTGATTTCTGCACTGACTTAAGCGAATAAAGGCAAATGAAAACAAGACACGACAAATCATGAAGAACATTCGATTGTGGGCTACGAGCAACGCCATCAATCAATTTATTAAACTACAATTGAGATAGATGATTATAATCGTAACCGGATCTGTCAACTGCGAGTAAGCGAGCTAGGGGGGCCAGAAAAAACCTGCCTCAAAAAGCCCTGTAGGGAAAACACAGGACAGGAAATCTGGGACGGGCCAGGCACCACTTACGTACCCCGCCAGGACTTCTTGGAAACAGCAAATAGATGGACATAATAAATACGATAAATAAATTGATTGCAGTAAATAGTAACTACAACTACAATAGTTATAAACTAGCAAAAAAGCACAAAATAATCGCAAACTAATGACAAGAAAAGCTCTTTCAGCTAAGCAAGAATAAACTGTAAACTAGCCTAAAGTATACCCTCAGAGCAAAAGCGATTTTGAAACGCTTAAACGATCTTTAATTGTATGTTTAATGTATCTTTTCTTCGAGGAAGGACACCTCCACCCAGCATGCATATCCCATAAATCGCCCGGTATGCGCCTGCAAGCGGGGTTCGACGCTGCACCAGACCTCATACTATGTGTGCCGTACTTTGAAACGTCGTCAACAAAGGGCCGGATGTACTTCTTGAATTCCTCTCTAAGAGTAGAATTAGACACGCCCTTGCTAGCGTGGAAATACTCGCCAGATTTGGACTTCACAATACGACGAACAAGCGGAAGCGATGAATTAGACTGCGACAAAACCTGAATAATTCGTTCAGTAATGGAAACTGGGCACGTAGATTTCCCAGACCTGGCAAGATAAGAGGTGTGACCCTCCCGATACTGGTCATTTTTTCGCTTGGAGACATAAATAGACATATGGTCAGCATTAATGGTCACATCCTTAAGGCAAAAACTGTTAATTTCATCAATACGAAAAAACCCATAGAAACCAACTAACAATATGAACAAAAAACGAAGAGTGGCAAGAGAATTACTCGCAACATAACATTCGGCAATTGCCTGCAGCGTGTCTACGGATAAAGGCTCCTTCGGGTTAACAGGACGCGCCAATTTTCTTTTCGCGCCCTCAAGAGAAGATTTCACAAGGGGATGGTTGGCACC